TATACAAACTATGAATCCTAATCATAAAAATTGTGAATTTTGTAGGTGAGATTAAATCATAAATACTATATAATAATGTGATTGTACTTACAATATTTAATAAAACTTAAAATTCATAAAGATATGAAGATCACTATCCACCGTACCTCACTGATCTCCACGATCCACAGAACCCCACATGGTGGCAGTCCGAAACCATGTTTGAAGGTATTCAACATCCCAACCACGTTAACTTGACACTGCATTTGGGTAAGCCGCCAAAAGAATAGCATTTATACGCATCTTTACTGAAATTCGCACTTTACACTTCAGGAAAATCGTACGACATCACCTATGTGCGCATACTTTTCCGATCGCCGCGACCCGAGTCATTCGCTATTTACAAACGTACCTCGGAGAGTAGTGAATGGATTCCCTACCAGTATTACAGTGCTACTTGTCGTGACACATATTCTCTACCCGACTCGCGGGCTATCCTAAAGGGTGAAGGCGAGGCGCACGCGCTCTGTACCAGCGAATACAGCGACATATCACCTTTGCGTGATGGAGAAATAGCCTTCTCAACGCTTGAAGGCCGACCGAGTGGTATCATATTTGAACGTAGTGGCGAATTACAGGTTGAAAATTATCACATATACAAAATATTAACATAACCCCGTCGGGAAACGCACTAGTGCCGAACTTGTTCTGTACTACAGAATTTAAAACCATGACTAGTGCACATTAATTCCCTTTTGCATGCTAGCAACTGGCGAATTTAATATTGCGATGTCATGGGAAGTGTCAATTGCCCCCCGCTGCATCCCTTTTTCTATAGTTCCGAACTAATCCTCTATAGTTCAGAACCATTTCTAAAATCGACATAATGAAAGCGTATTTGAACAAAACAGACCCCAGACACATATCTATGTAAAGCAAACAAGCCCCACGCTGCATCCATTTTTCGATAGTTCCGAACTAGTTCTAAATTCGACAGAAAAGTTCTAGTTCGTTCTGCATCCCTTTTTCTATAGTTCGGAACCAGTTCTAAATTGGTCACCTTAGATAAATGTACATAGATTTCTAATGAAAAAAGTGAAATAAAATAGTTTTTTTTTAAGTACCACATTTCGCTGATTTTGGACTATAAGATTGGTTCGTTTTTGGCGATAACGATCTAGTACGGAACTACAAATTTGATTCACCAGTTCGCGGTTTCCCTGCAGGTTATGTACATACTATACATACATATAAACGTTTTCTGAGCGCTTCGTTCGAGCTCTCCCCATTATTCTCACTATTTAATCTACTGAGTTTGTTCGCAGGAATGGGTCACAGCCACCGACATACGCATCACCTTGGATCGTCTGAACACATTTGGTGACGAGCTCTTTGGCGATGCTCAAGTACTCAAGTCGTACTTTTACGCCATCTCCGATATTGCGGTTGGTGCACGTTGTAAGTGTAATGGTCATGCCAGCAAGTGTGTAGCTAGTACCGGCATGTATGGCGAACGCACTTTGGTTTGTGAGTGTCGTCATAATACCGATGGACCGGATTGTGAAAAGTGTTTGCCATTGTACAATGACGTCAAATGGAAGAGGGCAACATCGACAGAAGTCAACGAATGCAAAGGTAAGCATTGTGAGAGCGGAAGGAAGGGCTTCGCACTTCATTCCTCTTGTGAGAAATATGCAAAAACAGGATGATTTAGTTGCCATAATTGGTGGTGTAGTATTAGAATGCGTAGATCACTCACAGATGCCGTTATGTGCAAAGATGGGTTGAAGAAAATGGTGAGTCTGATAAGTATGAGCATCCACTGGACAAGCGAACGGTCAAAAATGCATTGCTGTCTTCTTTTCATTGTAACGATGTTGAGCTGGCTTATGGCATCCGCTATTTGGAATCAACCGACGAGTTATCATCACTGGGACTACTCCCTTGATACAAACATATTTAATTATCACGCAACAAACTGGTATTTCATAAACTGTAATAAATGACACTGGCACCAATAATAAAGTTAGGAGGAAAATTTAATTCTGAATTTGCATTTTACTTTTCAGCTTGCAACTGTAATGGTTTTGCTGACAAATGCTTCTTTGATGTACATCTCTTCAACTTAACTGGACATGGTGGCCATTGCTTGGACTGTCGGGAGAATCGCGATGGGCCCAACTGCGAACGATGCAAAGAAAACTACTATATGCGAGAAGATGGCTACTGTATCAACTGCAACTGTGATCCGGTCGGCTCACGTTCTCTACAATGTAATAGTCACGGCAAGTGTCAGTGTAAACCCGGTGTGACCGGCGAAAAATGCGACCGCTGCGACAACAACTACTATCAGTTCGGTCAACATGGCTGCCAGCCTTGTGGTTGTGATCCACGCGGCTCCGCTAGCAATATACCATCGTGTAATCCCGACACTGGCATTTGCCACTGCAAGGAAAATGTAGAAGGAAAGCGCTGCAACGAGTAAGCTACACTGCTAATATTTAAGTTTGTAGATTACTATATGATTATTTTTTGTTGTATGTAGATGCAAACCCGGCTTCTTCAACTTGGATATGACAAATCGTTTCGGTTGCACGCCTTGCTTCTGCTACGGCCACACGTCCGAGTGTCAAACAGCACCCGGCTACTCAGTAGTTTCGATCACCTCGAATTTCAACAAGCACAAGGAACGTTGGACTGCGATGGATATTTTCAACCGTGATGTGGATATCAAGTATAACCAGTACAGTCGCAGTATAGGCACAACCGCACAAGGCAACGAATACATTTACTTCCTAGCACCAGAGCGTTTCCTTGGCGACCAGCGCGCCTCCTATAATCACGACTTGAAGTTCAAACTACAATTAGTTGGTCAAATAGCGCCCAGCACCAGCGCTAGCGATGTTATTGTGGAGGGCGCTGGCACCAAGATTTCGCTGCCGATATTCGCACAAAGCAACGGCTTGCCCGACCAAACTGAGAAAGAGTACACTTTCCGCCTGCATGAACATCGCGACTACCAGTGGCAGCCCAGTCAATCGTCGCGTGGTTTTCTATCAATACTTTCCAACTTGACGGCAATCAAGATTCGCGCCACCTACTCCATACAGGGAGAAGCCATTTTAGATGATGTGGAATTACAAACGGCTCATCGTGGCGCTGCTGGTCAGCCCGCCACCTGGATTGAGCAGTGTACCTGCCCCGAGGGTTACCTGGGACAGTTCTGCGAGTCTTGCGCGCCCGGTTACAGGCATAGTCCTGCACGCGGTGGTCCATTTATGCCTTGCATTCCGTGCGATTGCAATGGTCATGCCGAGATTTGTGACTCAGAAACTGGTCGGTGTATTTGTCAACACAATACGGCCGGGGACAACTGTGACCAGTGTGCACGTGGATACTATGGCAATGCTTTGGGTGGCACACCATATGACTGTAAACGTTGTCCTTGCCCCAATGATGGTGCTTGCATGCAAATCAACGGTGACACCGTCATTTGCACCGAATGCCCTGTTGGCTACTACGGCGCGCGCTGTGAAATGTGCTCGGACGGCTTCTTTGGTGATCCAACAGGTCTCTATGGCGCGGTGCAAACATGTAAAGCGTGCGACTGCAACGGCAATGTGGATCCCAATGCGGTAGGCAATTGTAATCGTACCACTGGTGAATGTCTCAAGTGCATACACAACACAGCCGGTAAACACTGCGACGAGTGCTTATCAGGACACTTCGGCGATCCACTGGCTCTACCACACGGCCAATGTGACCGCTGTAGCTGCTATCCACCAGGCACCGAACAAAATCAGGATGGTATTACACAATGCGATCAAGTAACCGGCCAGTGCCATTGCAAACCAAATGTGATTGGACGTGAGTGCGGTGAGTGCCAGCCGGGATACTTCAATATTATGTCGGGAAATGGGTGTGAAAACTGCATGTGTGATCCTATTGGTAGTTACAACTCCACCTGCGACAAGTTCACAGGACAATGCTTCTGTAAGCCGGGAGTTTTGGGGCAACAGTGCGATCAGTGTGAAGTATACCATTACGGATTCTCCCAGGAAGGTTGTAAGCCTTGCGAGTGTGACGAAAGCGGCTCTAAAGGATTCCAATGCGATCAGTATGGGCAGTGTCCATGCAATGACAATGTAGAGGGTCGCCGATGTGATCGTTGTAAAGAAAACAAATATGATCGCCATCTGGGCTGTATAGATTGCCCGGATTGCTATAACCTCGTACAAGATGCGGCCAATGAACACCGTGCAAAGTTGCATAACCTTAGCGCGACATTGGATGAAATTGCACGTACACCCGTTACTAATGATGAGGAGTTCGAGGCCAAATTGAAGGCCGTGCAAGAAAAAGTAGACATCCTCTTAACCGACGCTAAGTATGGCGCAGGCGAAAGTGGCCAGACGTATGCTGAAGTATTGGATGATCTGCATAAACGCCTCAACAATATCCGCACTCACCTGGTCACCGCCGACGAGCTACAAGATAAGGCGAACGATGAAATCAAAAAGGCCAGACAAAACTATACCAATGCGCATGACATTGTTGAGGCTGCGAAGAATGAACTGCAGAACGCATTGAACTTACTAAATGATGACGGTGCACAGGCGCTGGCTAAAGCCAAAAACAAATCTGTAGAATTCGGTGTGCAGTCAGATCAAATTTCGGAGATATCACGCGAAGCACGGGCTTTAGCCGATCGCTTAGAATCGGAAGCGCAAGTCGATTTGGAGAATGCCAAGGATGCCAACGAAGCAGTGGAGAAAGCCTATGAGTTGGCGAAAAGTGCAATCAACCTTCAGCAGAAAGTAAGGTGAGTATAAAAGAGCTACAAAGAGTAAAGGTTTTCCCTATGGATAAGAGCTTTCATAATGCCACAAATAAATTCATACGTTTAGCGATGAACTGCGTTCAGAGGTACGTCTGGAGTTAAATACAGTCAAGCAATCGCTGACTAATGTAGCTCAAACGACCAAAGAAGCGTTGCGTAAAGCGAACGAGGTTTACGACGCTGCTTTAACATTGCTTACGGATGTCAATGGGCTAACTGCACCAGAAATTAATATTAAGAAGCTTAAGAAGGATGCGTTGGCAGCAAATGAAGACGTAAGCTAGTTTAAAAAGATATGTAGCCTCTTAAGAGTCTTTCCTACATACTTACATACATATGTATATGAGTTTGCAAATATTTTAGGCCGATCGCCTTTTGAAACGAGTCAACGATATATCCAACAGCAACGGTAACATATTTGCCGATTTCGATGAGGAATACGAACTAGCCGATTTGCTAATTCTCAGGTGAGTATCGATGCCATGAAAGTGGTTCATTTAATATTTTTCGTCCATTTATAGAGCAAACGAACAAAAACAAGACGATATCAGGCTATTAAAAACCGCCCAGGACGCACTTGACAAAGCTAGAAAGGCTGTTGAGCAGGGCGATAACACGCTGAAAGAAGCCAACAACACATATCACACTCTGGCAGGTAAGAACGGCTCCAAATAAAATTTTATTAGAGCACAGCACCTACTTATAGCCCGGACACGATGAAAACGACGAGCTACGGACCACAGCTGTTAAATTATTTTTCCACATGTTCTTATGTATATAATTATTTTGGCGATGACAGGGCTACGCGACGACTGTGGTTGTGGCCAGATTAGATCTATTTCCATTTTTCCCGCGACTGATAAGGTTCTTCCTCTTCTTTTATGTCAAACTCATACAACTTCATTCTGTCGCTGCCGCGTTAAAAAAATCATGTCGCCATCGACAAAAGGTTTAGATAATGAAGATAACAAATTGGAAGCTGTAGCTCGTCGTTTTCAATGTGTTCATCACTTTATTTGGAAGATTTATTTTTGTGTTTTTTAATCATTTTATATTTCATGTATAGCCCCAGAAAAAGGTTTAGTCATAGCTACCAAGATTCGGCTATACATAGTAACCTAATAGCTTAGTTGGATATGGCGAAATAAATATTTAGTTAGCGAAAGTCCGCAATTTCCATGAATCTTTAGTAGGGGGAAATAAAAAGTGTGTTAGTTGATACAAGTTTTCAAATTGCATAAATAAAAATTTAGTACATACATAAAGAGTTATTGATGTAAATAATACACACATACATATTAGGGATGTTTCGAATGTCATATTTTTCACATTCGCGAATGCGAAACACACCTCTACAACGTTAAATCCTTCCCCACACCAGTTAACTATCGCATAGTATTCAACAACCCAACAAATAGATTCGGAGGTACAACCCTTTTAATTCACCGATCTTTATAATTCTCAAACCTCAATATTAACTCCAACAAATTCGACGTCTCAGCAGTAGAAATAGAGTCTATAAAGAAGATAACAATCTTTTCAGTATACATCTAACCAAAGAAACCATTTTCCTTAAACGACCTTAACATCTTACACAGTTCCCAATATGCTAATACACTCATCACAGGTGATTTCAACAGCTGGAACCAGAAATGGGGCTCCTCGCAAAATAGCCGAAGAGGAAAAATTTTTTTATAATTCTTAGACCAATCCAACCTAATCTTACTCAACGACAACTCTCCCACACATTTCACAACTCACAATACTTTCTCACACATAGATCTTACCATTTGCTCACCCGATTTAGCACCCAATAGCTCCTGGAAAACACTAGACGATTTATACGGAAGTGGCCACTTCCCCATCCATATATCCTTTTTCTCACAAGCACTAAAAAATAAAAAAAAAACCCAAATTCAGAACTAAACTTGCTGACTGGAACGCCTATTAATTATCCACACTTCAAATTACCAACGAAATCGCAACTAGCACCAACACTAATAAATAAGCAGCGAATTTGAATAAAAATCTCACAAAGTCATCCCTCAAACGGCACCCAACCCACAGAAACGCAATGTTCCCTGGTGGAGTGAACTCCTAACAGAACTAAAAACTTAAAAAAACAAAGCGCTTGGCGAAATCTCAAAAATAACATTAACCAGACAAATGTAATCAATCTTAAAAAAGCAAATGCTTTATTTCGTCGAGAACTTAGAAAAAGCAAAAGGCAAGCCACAACTACATTTACATCAGAAACTCAACTGTCTACTCCCATATCCACGATCTGGTCAAAAATCCGTACATTCTGTGGCGTAATAAATTCCACATCAATACACAGGATACAAAATACACTTACAGGACGATACACTACATCAAAACTTGATATAGCCAATACTTTCGCACAACACTGGTCACAAATCTCACACGACTCATCTTTCAATCAAGAATTTACAGATAACAAATATAAAACAAGACAAATAAACTGCAATATCACAACAACAGCCAAACAAATAGAAACCGACATTACATGCATTGAACTACTGTCGGCCCTACAGACTAGAGATGGGCACGGGACTAAATATTTAATCTCGATCCCGCCCATCCCGAAATTGGATTTTTAAGTCCCGAACCCGCCCATCCCGACGTTTTTCAGAATTGTACCGCGGGTCCCGTGGGTCCCGATATCTACCTCTAAAACAGGCTACAAATGGACAACAAATTTAAACGATAGGTTGAGATTTCAGCGTGTGTGTCGTGGTTTGCAAACCGATCGAAGGTTAACAAAAATGTTCATGTCTTTCAAATTAATTTTAAATAATAAAAATAATAATGAAAGATCTGGCATCTTCCGATTATTTTGTTTTGCTTTGCTGTTCGTTTTCGTCTCAATAAAACATTAAAAGTGCATTTTCAAACATCGTTTTTAAGGAAGATTTTGTGAGTTTTCGAGGGTTACGGTTTTATCAGGAGTGTCGGGTAAGGATTTTGGTCCCGTCCCGCCTGCCATATTTTTACAGCTCTTCCCGATACCGCCCATCCCAGCCAACTTTAAATCAGTACCGTGGGTCCCGCTATCCCGCGCCCATCTCTACTACAGACTTTAAAAGGAGACACTCCAGGTTACGACCGAATAACGTCCTCCATGGTCAAAAACGCTTCACACACTACCAAACAAAGATTAACCCAACATTTCAATAACGTCTTCAATAGCCACATCCCCCAGTCATATAAATCCAGCTTAGTTATACCAATTTTGAAACCCAAGAAAAACAAAACAAATATTACTTCATATCGATCAATATCACTTAATCCCTGCATAGCGAAATTATTTGACAAAATTATTGCCAAACGCCTATGGTGATACGTAACCAAAAACAGTATCATACACCCCAATTCGTTCGGTTTTAAAAGGGGTAAATCGGTTACAGACTGTCTGATCTATGCCGAACCTCTCAAAAAGATGCCGTACATTCGTCATTTCCCTCGACCTCTCCAAGGCCCTTGACAGAATTGGCGTCCATACAATAATTGACCAACTCATAGAATGGAAAACAGGCCGCCCAAAAATAATCGCTTACGTAACTAACTTTATGTCGAACAGAAGAATACTACGCTCGAAAAAAGTCCAGTTCACTGCTTACGCCAACGAGTTCCACCTGATAATGGAACTAAACAAACAAAAACGCCAAACTTATAACCTAAGCGCACTAAACATAGTTTAGCTACACTGAACATAGTTTAAACAAAACGCAACTCTGCTATTAGTACATCACTGGGTGTCTTTCGCACGACCCCAATTAAAAATATGCTTATAGAACCAAACATACACACTATAGAACACAAGTACGAACACCTCACAGCTAAACTCTTCAAAACCCTTATATATTCCTACGATACACCAGTTTCTAAACTAATAAAAAATTACAAAAAGACCCAAAAACGTAGGAAAAATATAGCATCAGCCCTCAATAGAATAGTATCAAAATTCATCCGATTGAACCTCTCCTTTTATACCAAAAAACACAACCTAGAACAAACTGGAAACGCCCTACTAACCTTATCATCACCTCCCTCAAAACTAATAATAAATCCGACACGCCTAAGTCCATATACAAAAAAGAATTCCTGGAAATCGAAGAAAAATTTAAAGACCACATATTTATCTACACCAATGGCTCACAATCAAATAAACTTTCAACCTATGCTATAACAACAGGCACCACCATACTCAAATCCGGAGTTCTACACCTCTAGTCTAGTTTTAGATTCAATAAAAATACTTAAAGAAAAAAGAGGCAAATTCATCATCTGCTCAGATTCGCTCTCAATATTGAATTCAATTTCTAATATAAACAGCCACGACCAGGGGCGGCGGAAGACGTGGGTATGGTGGGAAGTACTACCCACCTGAAATTTTTAAAAGGTGGGTATCTAGCAGGGATGAAAAATGGAAATTTCAGATTGTACCTAAAATCATAAAATAAATGTACCTAAATGAGACAGATTGTACATAAAAAAAGTTACATCATTCATTTGTAGTTTTTTTTATAAATTTTATTTAAAACATGAATACAAGGATGGATGTACTTTAAACATGATTAAGTTTTTTTTTTAACTGAGCCTATATCTATAGACTATAGTCTAATGGGAATCGGAGAAGCGTTGTTTTTGTCAAAAACCAAAAACACACTTTGCGAAGTATACTTCTTTATCCAGCAACAAGACGAAAAGTCTGCCAATTTGTCCGATTCCTTTTAATAGGTGCAACAAGTGTAGAGAAAATAATCAAATTGCCGTAAGTAATTTCGAAAGCATTTTAAATATATTTCCAGAAATCAAAAAGCGAATATGGGTTAATAATAATAATTGTACCTAAAATCTACTGACTGTACCTAATGTACCTTTAAGTCATCAAACGTCGGAAAAAGGTACAATTGTACCTACTTTTCATCTCTGGTATTTACCCACCTTAAAATTTTTTAGAAGAAAAATAAGTCCAATTGTAAGAGTATTTTCGGAAGATATATTATGAAATTTTTGACCAAGTTATTTGCTTCCTGACAAGTAAATTTTATACTGAATCGGCAACGTTTTATAAAACTGTAGAAAAGTTCATTCTTGGTGAGACAGTAGATTTGAAGAAAATGTCACGTTTTATAATGGTAATTTTGACGAGTGCAAACTTAATAGCGATAAAGATATATCTCTGTGCATAATGAGGTGCACAGAGCAAAATCCCAGAACTGTGAAAGATGTTGTGCTTCATTAGATTACTTGTTACAATTTCAGGGTTGTAATGCTCTAACGAGAGGAGCTGTTTCTCTTTTGAGTAGGGTGAAAAATTATTTGCGCTCGACAATAAACCAAAAACGGCTCAAGCATGTAGCAATATTGCATTCTTATCCATGCATGACTTCATTTCTCGAAATTCAAAACGAATGGCCCTGTTTTCACAGCAGAAATAAAATTTTTTCGAAATTTGATTAAATGATAATTTCCATGAAATATATGTATACATATGTACATAGTCTGCCTTATCTTGAGTTTCGCCCGAAAAAAAATCACCCGAAAATTTGTCATCTGCCCATAGTAAATACATAGAAACCAAAAGTGAACCGGCTCGGGGAAAATGAAACTCATGATAAGGCTGTATGTATGAAAAATAAATGTATTATACACGAAAAAATAAGTTTTTCTAAGGAAA